GGCACCTGTATATTACCAACCATTAGTTAGGTGGTAGAATGTCTGTTTTTTTTTTTAATTAAAAAAAAAACAGACATTAAAATAAGATAAGGAAAGTAAAAGAAAAGGTAGAATGTCTGGTTGAGGATAGCAATAGGGTTTAGGCTATTTGGGGAAGGGAAGGGAAGGCTAGGAGCCAGCCTGTGAGCTGCGGGGTCTTTGGGTACAGATGTGCAGGCGTACCGCCTGTAAGCTGAGCTGGATGATGTTTCCAGGAAGTTCCCGGGTGTAATCTCCGAGGTCCAAACTCGACGCACACCACACAGAACACCACACGGACACTGGCAATTCCCTCACACACTTCGCTTCAAGTAGCACATGACCCCCATGGGTAGTATGGCCCGCTCACTGCAAGTCTGTAGATCACCCAGGTATATAAATGCCCGCCTGTTCACGTGAGCTTTCAAATGTTTACGGATCTGTACCTCTGGGCCTCGTCCCTCCTCTGTGCAAGCAGTACAGAAATGGCCACCCTTCAAGAAAGAATTACTTCGACAAAAGAAGGCTCTATTACCTCTATTCAAGCAGTTTATGTACCTGCAGATGATTTAACTGATCCAGCTCCTGCTACTACCTTTGCACTAGTGCGCTCCGTTATGGCCAAGAGACCCCTGCTGGGCCTCTGTCCAGGGCCCCTGTTTTTTTTTTTTTTTAAACGGGCCCAGTGCCCAAGGCTGATATTACCAATAAGAGGAATGAGGCCGGGGTCCTCACAGTCTGCCCGGAGAAACAAAACCGAACCAGGGCCCCTGTATTGATTACTTCCTTTGGTAGAAAGGGACCGACGACAGGCTTACCGCACTTCCAACCCTGCTTGATCTGCATTGCTGTTGCCTCCTTTGCTTCTCTGAAGCCTGCTCTTTAAAACCACCACAGTACTTGGCCCAGCTATCGGCCACGGCGCTTCCCCGTTAACGCGCCGCGCCTGTCGGGCTTCGGGGTACCGGACCACAATGGCTGGAAGCGCCAGCCAAAAAAAAATTGAAACGGCGCCCCGGTGGTTCGGCGAAACTTGGCGCGCAGGGGGTTGGCCGGCTTGGCATCGATAGCTGGGCCAAGTACTGGTGGTTTAAAACCACCACAGTACTTGGCCCAGATATCGGCCGCGGCAAAAAAAATAGAGCAGACACGTCTCTTGTTGCATGAATGTTTTTTTCAGCGCTTCTGTAGTCGCCCGCACATTTTCCTAAAGTCGCGGCTTCTTTACCGGCACTACTTTAGGAAGTACTACTGGTGGTTCCAGTAACTCCTCTCTTTTTTTTTTTTTTTTGGGGTTCAGTAACTCCTCTCCNTCCCGAAAGTTTCTCAGCGGATTTGGGCTGTACTCAGCAAGTGCAGTACAGCCCCCAACTCAGATCTGAAAAGAAAATAGTGGACGGCTGTTTTCTGACTGGTCGGCAGACTGCCGACCTGTCGGCCCTACTGGTCGGCTGCAAAACGGTCGGCGATCGGGGTCGGCGGTCGGCAGGTATGCAACCCTGTTGTGTATTTTATTGTTTGCTTCACAAGATTGCGCTCTTTTAATTTCATATCGTATGTTTCACAAAGTGCGCTCTTTTAGCTCTCATGGATATGCGACAATATATTAGTCTATTCAAATTAAAAAATGAGTCCTTTGGGACATCCTTTTTAAATTCGGACAATATAGAGAAAGATTAGCATGGCCCCTGTCCAAGAGAAAGAAAGGGGACCGAGCAAAAAAAAGAGAGGGTACCAGAAAAGAGAACACAATGGGATCCAGGCTCTGCAAAACTCGGTGCGCAGTGAGTGCAATTCAGGGTTGGCAAAATCAGGATCGGGGGTAGTGGTCGTTTAATGAAATGAAATGAAGAAACATGCATGCAAGGAGTAACTGGCCATAAGGGACTGATTTAAAAGGAAGGGGGGGGGTGGGGGAAATCATGCATGAAAGGGGGTGGGGGGGAGGGGGGAAATCCTGCATGAAAGGGGGTGTCCGGGGGGCACAGATCCCGAGAACAGAAATGGCTTGCAAATTTTGCAATCCAGATCGCAGAGAGTTATTTTTTATGGTGCACCCCTGACCACTGCAAGCTGTAGCTCTCTGAGAGCAAAAAATGAACGAATGAGAGTTGTGTGATTTTCCACCGAAGCACACACGCCAAGAAGTTTATATTTTCGCTCATGTACATTGGAAAAAAAAACAAAAAAAAAGGAAGTTTAAATTGTTTAATAGTTTATCCTTTTGTAGATTTAAGCGTGCGCGAACTTCTACGCTCGATGTTTGAACTCGTAAGTGCACTTCTGTTTTTTTGCACTCGTAAGTGCAATGCATCTGCCCAAGAAATGCGCACTTCTAAGTTCGAACTCGTGTAAGTGCAATGCATCTGCCCAAGAAATGCGCACTTCTGTTTTGCACTCATAAGTGCAATGCATCTGCCCAAGAAATGCGCACGTCTAGGTTCGAAGTTCGAACTCGTGTAAGTGCAATTCATCTCCCGAAGGTATGAGTTTTGCGCATTTTGCTTCTCGATCGTCTTTCGGATTATTGGGGAGACGAGAGGATGATGTGTATATGCTCGTCTGCGCGATTGGCGAAAAATGTGATGCGAGTCGCGATGTTGTGCGTGCAGGTCAGGAGACAGCTGCAGATTGAGATCTGGGGGCGAAATGTATACCTGCCAGCAGCGTTGACATCTTTGGGGGAGCATCAGGTGCCAGTGGTATTTCCGCCTGGTATTGCGCTAGGAGGTGAAAAGGAGCAGATTCATCTCCAAGTCAGGATACGACGGAAGTAGTGGGGAAGGGAGAGAGGCGAGGGAGGAGGGAGGGGAGGGAGAGAGGGAGGGAAGGAGGGAGGGAGGCAAGTAGGGAAGAGGTGGGAGAAGGGAGGGAGGGAGGGAGGGAGGGAGGGGGCATCATATCGTTGTGCTTCTGCTTTTGTCGTACATACGTAGTATCACTATCTGTCCAGTCCTCTTTTCTGCTCGATGCGTTCTTAAATGCAAGGGAGGGAAGGACTGCAGATCCTTTTCAAAGGAGTTGGTGGTGGTCTTGGTCTTGTCTCTGGTCACCTGCTTCTCTCTGCCTGTCTGTCATTGGTTGCTTTGTCTCAGGAGTCATCAGAGGTATATATATGTGACGATATATATATATGACGATATATATATATATATATATACCTCTAGTGCCAGCGGCGTGTCTGGAGTGTATTTTTTGGCTGTGACAGACCTTTCTTTGTTTCGTGGATGTTTTGCTTGGTTGTTGCTTGTGATGGGTTGTGAACCGACAGTCTGTAGAGTTTTCCATCTGGTGTGGGTGAGTGATAGTCTACTTCGATTTTGGTTAAGGTAGATTATCATTTACAGTGTAATCAGTGAGGGGATTCTGCAGACTGTTGAGGGTTCAGCCTCCTGATGAGTCGGTGAAACTCCGACGAAACAGTTTGTCACAGCCCCTCGTTTGTTGTCCTCTTCTCCCTCTCTGCCTACGGTTTACCGTCGGCAGTTCTATTTGACGATATATATCGTCAAATAGAATATATATATATATATATATCGAGCATGGGATGGGGTGCTGCTGCTGCTACTGTGGTGTCAGGGGAAGAATGTCCGGGATTTTTTTTTTTTTTTTGTCCACGAGTTTTGCAGTAAATTTTCCTCTCGTATTTTTTTTCAGGTTTTGTGTTTGCTTACTTTTGCAAGCTATATATTGGTAGAGCTTCTACTTCCAGAGGTCTGCTCTCTATAGCCACATAGCCAGTGGCTTTGGGATCTTTTAACTTTGTGTTGCCACAACGGGAGGAGGATAGTCTATCTATAAAATGCGAGAGAACTCAGTTCAGGCAAACCCACAGTACATGTTTTTTTTTGTTTTTTTTTTTTTTCCTCCCTTTTAACTTTGAGCACCGACTTTCCAATTTCCAATTTTCAATTTTCAATTCAATTTTTGACTCCAAGTTTTGACGTTTGCCCGCCATGGACACAGATAATCAACCTTGTTATAGTGTTCACTAACTTCACACTTTTTTTTTTTTTTTTTTTTTTTTTTTTATTTTTTTTTTTGTTTAGTAAGTTGCATACTTCCGACGCATCGTGTGCGTACCGTGGACGCATGTGCATGCATGCACACGCACTCCATGCGGCACACGGTAAAAAAATAGGGGTCAAGAAAAAGAAAAAAACCGGGGAGGGGTCCCGGGTGTGGTAGCACACCCTGCCTCCTCTCCTCGTAAAATGCTAGTCGGCAAACGGAAAAAAAAATAAAAAAATGGGGCCGCGCTCAGCAGCGGTCCTCAGAAATCTGTGTGTGTGTGTGTGTGTGTGTGTGTGTGTGCGCTGCTATCACGAATGTATACAGATAGTATATATTTATATTCTCTCTCTCTGCCTACGGTTTACCTGGCAGTTATTTTTGTGACGATATTTTGTGACGATATATATATTTATATTTAAGGCACTCGTTTTATGGAGTGCGCCTTGCCTTGTTTTTCAACGCGTAGTTCTGACAGCCCCGTTTTGTTTTATTTAACAAGTTTATTTTTGTTTTTTTTTTGCTTTTTTGTTTTTTTCAACCTAAAATTTAGTAAAAAATTAATAATAATGGGCTTTTCAGGAGTGGTGCCACCATATTTTACCTCTATGGGAGTCTATCCCTATGTCTGGACTCTGGATGTATTCAAGTTATCTTTCCGGTCCGATACAGTCATAAATATGAGTGCTGCTATTTTTAATGTATACATTCTATAGGAAGTATTACACACGGTATTTCAGGTAGGATACAGTCATGTTATGCGTGAGCCCTGTTTTGTTTTCGATGGGTAAAAATACTAAAAAACAAAAGAGAGCCCTATTTTGTTGCAATGGGTCGCTCTGAGTCTTCTGACAGTCGTGTTGTGTTGTGTGTGTGTGTGTGTGTGTGTGTGTGT